CTCATCAATACCTTTCATTTGAGTACCCACATCATTTTTTCATATATTTATATATATTATATAAATATATATATGAATATATAAAAATATATCAAAAATTCATGTGGGTACTCAAATGAAAGCTCTTGATGAATGTAACATGGGAATGAGCTTATATCTTTAATATATATACTATATATATGTATATATATCAAAAATGCATGTGGGTACTCAAATGAAAGCTCTTGATGAGTGTAACGTCGGGATGAGCTTATATCTTTAAAAACGTCAATAGTTAAAAAAGTACAGTGCAATTTAACGAAAGTCATTATTTAATAAAGCAAAATTTTATTTATTTATAATTCACAAGTCACGGCAGTCACATAGTGACTGCAAGGTTGCTAGTTATAATAATTTATTTTTTTTAATACTCGAGATAAATTGCCAACTTTTACCTTCGTACTGTCTAATTATTTCGACTATTTGTATTTCTTCAGCATAAAAAGTCAGCAATGAAAAATGCAAGAAAAAAATAAGCGAAAAAAAATAAAATGGAGGAAGAATATAAATGAAGTAAATGCGTGAAACAAACTGGTAAAAAGTCAATAAAAAAAGTAAAATAAATCGGAAGCCATTCTGGATCTAGCCGTCAGTAGACATCGGACATGGAAGAGATTCCAGGAGCCCGATTTACCTCTGAGGAATTTGTTCAAAGTCTTGGAGGACGGCCCGGCCCCGAGCCCTGACTCTGACACCCTTGGCTCGGAGAGTTGTAACGGTGGTGATGATGAGGATGATGCTGCAGAGCAGGTGGTGGTTGAGGGGTCGGTGGCGGTACGGGGTTCGGGTGGTTGTGGGGCCGGTGTCTTCGTGGAGGCGCTACTGGCGCCTGCAGAACCGTGTAGATGGGACGATATGTAGCACCAAAAACTCGGGGTTGTTGTGTGCCTACGCGTCAACGTTATCTCATCGTCAATCGGACATTATCGCACCTTTACTCATCTTTTCCACACAACTTTTCACTTTTATTTCATTATTATTCTTTTATATTAAGTATAAGTAAGAGCAACTAGCCGATCAAACTTTTTAGATAATCGTATACGGAAAAAATTCTAATTTTTTATTAAAGCTTCAAAAAATTTTTGTCAAAGCTAAATTTTTTATTGTGTACTACTTGCGCAAAAAAAAACATTTTTTCCGTATACTTTTACAAATGTACGGTCCATTTTTTAATTATTATTAATTTTTTTTGTGTGAAAAAATTTTTAAATAATTTGAATTTGAATTTTTTTTATATAAAAAATTTTTTTAATAATCTCTATTATTAAGAGAATAAGAAAAATTTTGTGTCCAGGACAGTCATATAATAAAATCGGTTTTTTTTAGTGAAATTTAATGTCATTGCAAAGGTCTTGATTTGAATTTGTACCTTTTTAAGGTTTCATATCATTATCACCGATTGTCAATTTATTACGATAAGTATTTAGACTGCATTCGAAAATACTCTATCTCTAGATACATAATTAAGAAATTACCTTGTATTTTGTGAACTATTAACATTTTTAAAAGATATAAGCTCATCCCGACATTGCACTCATCGAGACCTTTCATTTGAGTACTCACATCAATTTTTCATATATTTATATATATTATATATATGTATATATGAAAAATATCTCAAAAATGCATGTGGGTACTCAAATGAAAGCTCTTGATGAGAGTATCATCGAGATGAGCTTATATCTTTAAAAACGTCAATATTTAAGAAAGTACAGTGCAATTTAACGTAATTAAAAAATGGTCTCGCATCTTGTAAACTATTGATATTTTTAAAAATATAAGCTCATTCTAATGTTACACTCATCAAGAGCTTTCATTAGAGTACCCACATGCATTTTGATATATTTGTCATATATTCATATATATAATATATATAAATATATGAAAAATATATCAAAATGCATGTGGGTACTCAAATAAAAGCTCTTGATGAGT